TAATAGAATATTTTGGTCAAAAAGCCACTGTATTTTGAGAGGCAATAGCGTAATCATGGAAACATTCAAAAGATCAGATTTATATTTAAAAACACTCAAAATTTGATTCGTTGAGCAAAGGGTTAATCAATGATCATAACTGATAGCGCTTCAAATTTTGAAAGCTCGAGCTAAAATAGAAACCTCTAGCTAAAACCAATTTGAACTTCATTAAAAGATACTGAGAACAGTTGACCAGATTGTAGTATCAAATTAAAAAGTTATTTAATTGCATATTCTTTTAATGGAATAATCAAAAATTTGGATGGTCAAATTATAACTCCGAATTCATATCAAGTTTGTTTCCATTACTTGTCTTAGTTTGTGTTCAGTCTTTCCCGATTGAATTTGCTCTGATTTGAATAACTCTTTTCCTTAAAAGTCGCAAATAAGTTTTCACCTGCTTTATTTGATGGTCACTCTGTTCTGTCGTATATATTGGCACACAAATTACAATTTTCCCCCAGTTTCTAGGTCCGCTTTGATGAATATTTTCAAAACTTCTGTTAGCACAATAAAGTTAAAAAGAAGTACTAAAAGTTTTCTAGAAGCTTCGAAAATTGTTTCCTTTTTATTATAAAAAGTGGTATATGCAAGTCTTAGAAATGGCTGCAGCAAAATTAAGTGTTCATCAGTGTTCTCGTTTTTCAAGATCTGTAGCCACTTCAACTTATTAGCTCTTTCAACCTTTCTATAAAATCGAAGTTTTTTTCATAGACTTCAGACGTTTTTTCAGTCTCCTGTAGAAAAGGAAAATGGAAATGTCGAAATTTTCAAGCCAATTTCATTATTTTATGGTTTTCAGTGTTTCGTAATTTTTCTTTGTTTATTACCTTCCATTAGCCTAAAATAATTTTTCATTTTTATTTCGATCAAATAGATCATTCATTTTTGCCTAAATAGAGGTGGCGGCCGCCGCACTTGACGAATTTTCCTTTCTTCGAGAATCAGCAATAAAACATGCATTTTTGAAGAAAATCGTCCACCGCAGCCAAAAGTTAAGCTACGCTGCCAAATTAGTTTGGTTCCATATAATAGGTATATAACGTCATTTTACATGTAAACAAGCCAATACCCCCAAACTTTAGAAGGGAAAACATGCACCAACCAAAACTTAATTCCATTCCCGCTTCCATAAAGTGGCTGGAAAATTACCAATTTTAACCACCCTTAAAACATGCGTGCCCGAAAAAGTAGGGGCTTTAACCCCTTTGGGGGTTAAAAGTGGTAAGTACAACGGCACACCGAGTTTTGGGGGGGGGGGGGTTAAAAGTGGTCATTTTCCTAGCCACTTTTACTTTACTACTTATAGAGTTTCGATGCTATTTTTCTGCGAATGAATTTTCGGCTCCATAGTTGTCGACTTAAGCTCTGTCGGTTTAGTTTCTAAATTCTTAAGTGACACGTTTTTTACATAGTTAGCGTTGATCCTATGTGGGCGTTACATGCATTTTTTCCAATATGATTTGTTAACGAAAATTTTCGGCTGAGTTTCAGCTAATTGGCTGCCGGCTTGATTTTAGTCGGCTTATTTAGCAATTTTGTTCCTATAAATGTCCGGCAGTACCTTTGATATCGATAAATTTCTGTCACCAATCTTTACTGCCATAGACAACCCCACTAGGACCTCTTGGAAAAAATGTTTTATATTTAAACTCAATAAATATACTTTTTTTCTTTCGTCTTATTTTTTTTTTCGTTTTTTTTTACTTCCTGCGTCGATTGTAACCTTGTTAGAAGTCCTATTTGCTTATGTTTGAGAGTCATTTTGATATTGCTTTTATCCGTTGACTATTGTATCACAAGTTGTGCGAAGCTCAGCTTGGCCTCTGTGTTAAAATTACGTTTGATTCGCGCTTTTAAATCCAGATGTTTACTGGACCAAGCTACACTGTGAACGTTATTTTATGACAGTTTAAAAAAATTAGCCTGTTTTATCCAAGAGTATGATTCCATGACATTACACTCTTCAAAGAACCTCTTAGTCTAGTGGCTCAACTAAAGCTGGAGATACCTGTTTCGGAGATACCTGAGAAGTGATGATTAAGTGTTCGGTGAAAGCTGACAATATTAGGGATAATTTGGTGTCAGATCTCATACCATTCCCGCCGCCCTTGATTAAGTATTATGCAACAGAGTCTATGACAATGAATTGCTGTTCATCTTTAAATTTGGTTTTTAGTGCATTTTTGTGAAAGAGGTTAAATTTTTCTAATAATATCCATTTAAATTTGTTTCACATATGGCAAGAAAATATCTTCGCCTTTGTGTGGAAAATCTTCTGGTTCCACTTGCCGACCCAAAGGGTCCCCCTTTGTACTATTTTGAGATATCCTTCTTTTGGCGACAGACCCTAAAACTTCCATCTTTTGGTGACAGGCGCCATCGGGTCTTTTTAGTGCTTTGATAGCCAAAACAGGGTCGTTTTAGTGCTTTGAGAAAGCTCGGAAAATCAATTTGCTCGACCTGAAAAAAAGGTCGACAAAATTTTCGATTTTTTTTTTGAAAATCCGCCCACCCCCTCGAGAAAATCCTAGATCCGCCCCAGGGAGAGAATAAATTTTCAAAAGATGCATCCAAATTTCTGTGAGATCAATAAAAATGATTTTCAGAGGTTTGCCAACACATTATAAAGCAGAAATGCTGAAATGCCGCTTTTGAGCGTTTTTGAAAGTTTTTGACAAAAAATTTTTTTGGGCAGAACCTTCACTCCAATTTAGTATGTTCTGATATCCAAGACGACTCCTTTAGAAATTATTTATGGACGGTCGGCCTAAAATAGATGTCGTACGAGCCTTTGGGCCATGAAGGGTTGAATCATCCCTGAAGAACGTGGGCGTTCTACCCACGCCCCCTTCCCCCAATCCACCCTGAATGATTTTTTTTTACAGCGAAGGAGTTTATTTACTAAGTACCCTAGGTAGGATGGCTAAAGATAATTGTAGTTTTTACTAGCCAATAGATACTAGTTCGTTCTCGAACGAAAGATCCTGTGCAATTCCGAAGCTGTACACTAAGCATGGCTCTTCCCTGATCACAAAGTCGTCCTCGCATATAAACTTGTGTCCGTCCCAATATCTGGAACCGAACCGATGGCCACCTAAAATTACAAAATAAATATTTATTCCAATTATCTGTTTCAAAAACTTCCTTCCTCAAATTGCTAAAGAATGATTAGTTACTATTTCTACTTTTTAGTTATTTTTCCGACTTTTGATACGAAAGTAACGGAATATTTGTGCTCGGGGTGGGTTTTTTTTTCTTCAGACAAATTTCGACTTTTTAACTAGCCTTTTTTGACGGAATTTTTTTATATCATTCAAAAGGTATTGTTGTCCTGAGCTTAAATTTGAAACGATATTTTATCTGCGATCATTTTTCGTAAAGTTATGAGGGTTTAAAGATTGCCATTTTGACCAATTTGGGACAATTAACGCGCGATTTAATTCGCGCTATTAACGCGTAAGCGGAGATTTAATCCGTCTTATAGATCGTTCCAAATTGGTTGAACGAAGCTTATTTGCCATAATTGATTTGTTACAAGAAACAAAATCTATCTTTTTTACTTTATATGGCGTGTGGGGGGATGATTTTCATAAAAAATTTCAAATTTTAGAAAAAAATATTTCATTTTATTTTATTTCATTTAATTTTTTAAATGTTATTACTGCTGCTCTATAAAACTTAGAAGGCAGTCGGAACACTCAGGGCTTCGCCCTGATACGAGCAGTCTTGTTTT